ATCAATACAAATTAATCAAGCCCAAACACAAGGTAGTTACTGTATACCGTTAAGGAGTTCCTTTAACAATTACACTTCTTCATCATCAGATCCTTAATGACAGCCCTACTCTATTTAGGTGTAAAGTCCTCATCAATCCAAATTAATCAAGCCCAAACTCAAGGTAGTTAATATAAACCGCTGAGGAGTTCCCTCGACTGCCTGTCGGCTCCATCATCAGGTCAACTCCAGACCCTTATCAAATTGTAGTGTTTTAAAATCCTAATTGAAAAACATAATAGACGCATTACTCGCCCATAGAATTTTCGAAAGTTCCCCTCGGTTTCCCTAGGATCCCATCATCAGATCCTGACCTCATGGAAATGGGACCATCTCGGGAGTATACCCTTTCGAACAAAACAAGAATTTTGGAAATCGGTTCACAAATGGCGGAGTACTGCGCGAAAAAAAAAAAACAATCAGCCGAACATAGTACCTCCTCCTTTTTTTGAAGTCGGTAAAAATAACGAAACAATCTTTTTCGGGCAAACTTTGGTAAGATTTTTACAAATTTCAAAATATATCTCCCAAACAAGACCTCACTCGATGTGAACGAGGATCGTGTTAATTAGTACCTACTGACCTTATTCCAGCCCTAAAATAATCCAGTCTAATTCTACCCAACCTTTTATGTCTGGAATACCGGCTGATGGGAGGATGGAAGAAAAAAGAATTTTGCGTCACTCATTTGTAAAGTAAAATGTGAAGAATCGGATTGGAGTGGAAATTGGAGACAGAACAATCGACAACTTACTAGTTATATTGTCAGGTTTTTTATAATAGGGGGAGGTACTACAACGTGTTGACATTGTGTTTAGCAGTTATCAGTAACAGTAACGGCGTGACACGAGTGGTGTCAGTAGTGTATATAAACCCAGATGTAATGCTTTGTTTGTCTAAGGGTTCATACGCACTATTGTTGTAAAGAAATGAATATTACGTACATAATTGTGCTTGCGGTCAGCCGGACGGCTATCCGCAATGCGGCTACCCACTTAGTGCGTATGAACCCTTAAGCTTGTCGTATGCCTCAGTCCACCAGCGAGCGATTCAAATTAGTTCAAGAAAATGTTACAATAAAACAAAAGATATATTAAAACGACAGGTATAATAGGCAAACATAATATTGTCACAAACACAGGAAATATACCAACAGCACTAGAAGCGGGTTCTATCCACGGGTGGTAGGCAGACACTCGTGTGTACAACGTTGTCTTATCAAAGTTCTTGCCGCTCACTACGCCTGCCAACACTCCCTCGTCATTCACCTCGTTGGGGTCACCGGTATGGTAACACAACAGAGGACCCCCAGAATCACCTCTAGCTACATCCGCCGTCGCCGAGTCCGTACAAATAAACGAATTCATATTCATCTCCCACACTAAAGAGCATCGCCACCTCGGCATTGTACTTATTTTCGCAGTCAACAAAATTGGGGAGATGGTGTCTTTCATTCGATGCCCCACCCGACCGTACCCAGCAGACACACAATGCTCGGCATAATCCGTCACTTTTGTCGCCATCCTTATGGCATTGACATTTTCGGTAAAGACCCACGGCTCGGTAACTACAACGATAGCGATGTCATTTGCTGGGAAGCTGAAATGTTCATGTATCAGAACTTTCTTTAAGCTTCTCCATTGGAATTCTCTAGTGGTTTCCGTCTTACCGCTGTGTATGAGGTCTGTACTCATGGCCCCGGCCACAACGCGGAGCGCGTTCGGGTGTCTCGCGTAGTAGAACTCGTTATTTTCAAAACAGTGTGCTGCTGTCAGTACTCGATTATTGTCGATGATGCTTCCGCCACAAAGGTTTTTCCACACAATTTTATCCGGCTCCATTTTCTGCACTGGTTCTTTTAAAGAGACCAGGAAAGGGAACTGACCTTCTGCAGCAGGTTTCCCATTGACCACTGCTGGTGTCGTGCTGTATTTCGAGTACTTTAGAGTCGTTATAACACGCCTGTCGTAATCACAAATAACATTTTGGGTGAGGAACGCGAACACTATGAGGACAAGCATTAGTAATTTTGTTCATTGCCAAAATTTAAACTAATAATTTTGTTGATCTTTATTTTCGAAAGCTGTTAATTTCGGACATTTTCAATTTCTTCTGTCATCTTAATTGTGGATGTTGTCTTCTGTCAAAACATTGATGTTATATTTTATTTTGTTGCGCCACCATAGAGGTCATTTAGAAGTTCGACTCATAAAAATAACGTGGCAAGGACTCGATACTTCGATAGTTTCTTATGACAATAGTAATTACAAATAGTAATTAATCGATTCATGTAACAGTAGCCGTCTCTTGCAACCGGTGTCCTTAGCGACAAAGGGAATGTTGACTTATCTCGTCAACTAAATAAAGACAATGTATGGCTAATTAAAGATAACAAAATGTCGTTGTGGCCCGGAAGTTTAAGACGTTCGCTTCTCATGCATCACATGCATGAGGATGCGGGTTCGATACCTACCAACGGCAAGTACCTATGACTTTTTCCGAGTTATACGTAGTTTCTAAGATTATTAAGATACCACTGACAAACGGTGAAGGAAAACGTGAGTAAACCTAGGCTTATAATTTCTAATGATAAGTTTGAAATCGCCAACCTGCATTGAGCAAGCGTGGTGATTACTGCTCAAACCTCCGTGTAAGAAGAGGCTTTGCTCAGCAGTGGGCGTTATAGGCTGTTGATGTAAGATATAGATGATCTAAAAGTTTGTTATTGGGTACCTGCGAATTGTTATCAAATCAAAACTCGTGACGCCTTACACAACGGCCGATCTCACAATCTTCGGAACTAAGCTATAAATTATTTCCCCTGAACCAATAGATTCATTCACAAATAATTAACAAAAGCATCTCAACTTAGGTGATTAGGTCACCACAATTACCGGGTACCATAATTACAGGACCAAACCACGGCCGGCTTTGAGGCGACACCAAAATATGGTACGGCTTTTAATATAGACAAATGATTGTTGAAGATCGTTCCTAATCAAAGGCCGGCGACGCCATTATTATGAAGAGAGGCAAATTAATGGTTTAATTTATGGGTAGGATTAGTTTTTGTAATCACGCCCTTAATTTCACATAATTGGTTTTTTTTTCAAGGTTGTTTTTTGGTATAATTTTAATTAAATAACAAACCCTCGATGGACACTGCATAGTGTTACTTTGATATTTTATTTAAGACTAGTTCTTAGTTGAGTTTTACTTACCAGGTAAAGTTTAAACTTGGTTTATAGTATATCTTTAAATTTAAAACCTTCAGGAAAAGAGCGTATTTTTTTCAAAAGACCGGCAACGCACCTGTGTCTCCTCTGGTGTTGCGGGCAGCGCTGATCGCCTACCATCAGGTGACCGTCTGCTTGTTTGCCTACTATTCCATAAAATATTGCTAACCCGCTTACCAAAGTGGAGAACGGTAAAAACCTCTTATTTAGGCAACCTTCATTTAACAGTGGACATAATTATCTCGGCTGATAAGAAGATTTGCTTTTCGAAACCTGTTAAACATTAATTGATTATGTTGTCAAAGATAAAACAAAACCATTTGAGGATTTAACATATGTAACAAAAAGATCCTAAAAAAATATTTCACAAAGTTTGTACAGAAAATGTAATAGAGCCCTAACCCACCTAAATAAAGTGGAGTGTAAATTGGGCGCCGATAATCGTGTCGACCAATGGGTTAATTCCTAAAAGCCTCGACAGCCATCTTAGGAGGCTGGCGTTACGCGGATAGTTCAAAGAAAGCAGAAGGCAGAAGGCAGTTACTGGCGTATTATATTAAAGATTTTTAAAAACATAGTTCATTGTAAAGAATTTGTGGTTATTTCAAAAGGCCGAAGGCAAAATATAAAATAAGACAGGTTATATAAAATAAGTCAGAAGGCAGTTCTTCTAGAAACGGCACGTATCGTGAGGTTTCCGTCTCAGGAGCCCTAATTACCGGTAGCTTGGACCATGCTCCCGCTACTGGTTAGCTCCATTTTTTTATATTATTAAATATTTTTTTTTTATATTTAAAAATATAGTAGAGACTTTTATATGTATATATGGAATTATAGTAATCCGGGAGCCAGTTTATTAGTCTTCTGTGTACAAATATAAAGTCATATCTCTAGAACACAATATATCAAGTTCAATCTTTACTCAGAGGTCGATATATATTGTTCATTAGATTTGTTTAAGTTTACACCCACTGTCTATCCCACTAGTATAATGAAGTTAAAAAGTTTATTGTTGTAGTTCAATTAATGAAAATAGGTGTAGGTGTCAACTACCAACCCTGTCCTGCCTTATCCAATATCTGTACTCTCATTATGATTACATTCTTAACCTGTAATTGAATAATAAATAATTCAACAAAAATTAAAAAAGAAACTAACACTATATATTTGTTCCCTACATCTTTGCTTTGATTCTCAACTTTCAAAAGTAAAGCAATTTTCGGTTAATTTATAAAACTACACGGAACATACGAGTTCATCGATTGAACATAATTACAAGTTTGTTTCATCCAGTGTCCACTTTCCATAACTCAATAAAACCTCCGTAGCTTTTCAATCTCCTAACAAAGATCTTCTATCAATCTAAAAACTAAAAATGACATTTTGTCACAAGCATAGGTGTAAACATGACATTATTATAATAAAATAGACGAAATTATTGAAAAATTTAATGTTACCTCAAATATTTTTGTTATTGTTGACAATAGCCACACGAACCAACCAGGAGCGCATCATAACCACGCTTAAATATTCCACATTTCGTGTGGCTCCGAAAGTAATACATGGAAACCCGGTGTTGAAGGGCCAGGTCCCCTACCTAGTCTCTATAAAGGAGTCTACAATCAACATCACTCGGGCGAAGAAGTTATGGGTCAACCTTTGTGGTGGGAGCATCATCAAGAACACCCAAGTGCTGACAGCTGCGCACTGCTTTGAAGACAAAAATTTTTACTATGCTAAAAACTTTTATTTGTTGCGGGTCGTGGCGGGGAATACGCGCAACGATTTGATAGATTCAGGTGTGTGATTTATTAGAATAGCGTGCCGAAAGACTGGGCCTCCGGTAACCTCATTACATCTTTATATAATTTACCGGTAGATTACCGGAGGGTCAATCTCATTCATCCCCAAAAAGCCGGCGACGCACTCATAGCACCTCTGGTGTTACGGACGTCCGTATTGGTGGTGATACGTCTGCTCGTTTGCACCCTCTTCAAGAAAACAAGCCATTTCTATAGACACTTTAAATGAACAAAATTAAATTTGCTTTTGAAAACTAAATCTTAGCATACCTATTGTGTTATTCGCAGGTCACACGTCAACATCAGAAAAAGCTCAATGGCGGACTATAGTAAGGGTGGCGATACACGAACGCTTCAATTTCCCCTTAAATGACATTGCACTGGTAATCGTGAACACTCCATTTGTGTTCTCGGACACAGTCAATTACATTATACCAGCGAGGAAGTTGACAGATTATCCTAAAACATGTATAGCGGCTGGTTTCGGCCAGACTGGCAAGGGACCTGAAATGTCTCGGGAACTATTATGGGCCGACATCGCGGTACTGTCGAGACAGCAGTGCAACACGTGGTGGGAGATGGAAATGAACGACTTCATCTGCACTAACTCTCAGGCTTCAGACGTTGGAGGTGGCGACTCCGGAGGTCCTTTGGCCTGCTACGGGACCCTCGACCCTATCGAGCAGAAAGGCAGGGACCTCCTAGTAGGCGTCGTGAGCGGCAAAAACTACGACAAAACTACGCTCTTTACCAGAGTATCTGCCTTCGACCATTGGGTGAAACATGCAGCACCGAGAACTAGTATCGCATGTATTTGTAAACCTGCAAAAATTGTTTTGATTTTGGCTATTATACTGTCTTGTATGCGTTTATTGATAATTTTTTTATATAAACCTGATGCACCTTTTACTAAAATGTGCACTCATTGAAAAGTCGAACAAACATCCTTACTTAATAACTTACATAATAAAACACAGATTAGCTAGAGTTGCAAGGGCCTCATAGCGACATCTACAACACCGATTTGTTAACTAACCCTTTAAACAGCGACATCTGCCCTCTGTGTACAGGAAACTAAGCAACGATTTGTTCTTAGTTGACAGCTTCTAAATTCAAACTGCCAATAATTTTGCCAGAATTATGGCAATAAATCTATGGTTTTTACGAGAATGTGAGTTCATGCATTATGGAGTGCTTAGGTGAAAAATACCTATATAATTATGCCAAAACTGACTCCCAACTGACTTCAGTCGATAGGTCGTTTTAGGGCGGATGTCATATGTCATTCTACTGTTTAGTGTGTGAACATAAAGCTATTGAGTTTAATCATTCAACTATTCAAATAATTGTTACTTAAATTCTTGGTAGTCATTTTCATGTTTGTGAAGAAATCATGGCGATTTTAAATCCAGAACATTTTGTTCGAGTTTTCATCGTTGTTTTTGTCATTGTTATGTCTATTATCTGCTTTAGCGTGTACCAGCAAGTTTCGATAATCAAAATACAGAAGGGGGGCATGATTTTTAACTACAAAGATGGTGTCAGTGGTAACAGTACATATAAGGAGCACGTACCGGAGCGGCAACATGTCAATGGAACATTGATACAGAAAAGAACATAGATAAGCATTTATACTTTGATTGAAGTCTTACAAAAAACCTCTTAAGGTATTATCTTAGTTCTGAGGGAGATATCTTGAATAATAATCCGGTGCACAGCTATAGTGAAAGAGTAAAGGAATTTTACACATTTCAGTCATCGAGATAGTACACACGATTGACAAGCTGAAGTGGTTAAGACTGAACCAAAACAACCCTGTTCTTTCTCCCACGTCGAGCTGGGGCCTGGTAACCCGTGTAGTCTCCGACAATACACATCCCTTCAGCTAGGGAGAGTACCGATAGTCCCAAAGTGGCTGTATGTGAAGAACTGAAGATCAAATTCAGTAGCCTACTGTTGCTCTCCAAAAGTAGATGGAGACTGGCTAATGAAGATGACCCACCCAATTTATTTAAGTTCAGCAGTTTTCAAGGTTTTCTAAATACTGGTAAATAAAACAGTAGAATAGCTATAAAATATTGATTTATTCATCTTTAAACAATAAATCGTTTTATATAAAACATAGTTCGGCATTAGATACCTATCCATGCTACTTAATTCTAGATTAACTTCATAATGTCACAAATATTAAGAATATATTTATTATTAAGACTGAATTTCAAGTGTTTCATTGTTTGAACACCGGCACTGACTACTATCAAACAAATTTTAGATAAGCTACCGTGAGTCTCTTCACTACATAGTATAAAACAAAGTCGCTATCCGCCGTCTGTCTGTCCCTGTTTGCTTAGATCTTTAAAACTACGAAACGGATTTTGATGCAGTTTTTTAATAGATAGAGTGATTCTTAAGGAAGGTTTATATGTATAATACATGCATATTGCACCAGTGCGAAGCCGGGGCGAGTCGCTAGTAAAAAAATAAGTAGATGATTTTAATTTAAGGGTAAGTTCGTCTATTCGCGTCCACTCGCCAGTTCGCGTCCATTCTACGGATCGCTGATGAATGTAAGATACTTAAAACGTGAAGAGGTCAAACGGATGTGTACTAAACACTATTTATATGATAGTTTCCGTATTATCGGAATTTTTTAAAGGGCATTATGTAACATGGACGCCATCTGATGGGTGGACGCGAACAGATGAACTTACCCAACTACTTATATTCTATATTAGACAAAAGACAGACGACGATAAACAATAGTCGCATAATGACAACCGTAAAGAGGTTATTCTTCTTTACTTAAAGAAGTATTCTAATTTACGAGACTCACGTATTAACCCCGAGATGTTCTGCACCTGGCTTGAACTTTCTATCGATTGTGTTGCGATAACAATATATTTAAACATGAAGGAGAGAGATTTAAAGATGCATTTAACATAATATATGTAACATAACATCACGTCATTTTATCCACGAAGGGATAGGCAGAGGTGCACATTATGGCATTTAATTGCACTGCCCAATGTAACACCCACTTTTCACTATTTATGTTATGAGTGCCATGTAATAGGAAATGAGCCTATATCGGGCACAATTCTAGACTCCGTACTACTACTGAGAATTTAAAAAAAAACAGTAATACATTGCGACCACTCGGCCAACAAGGCAGTCTTCTGTTTTTCTTCTTCGAGACTTCTTATACATTTGTGACATATAAAGCAAAATATTCATACTGTGAAATGTCAACATTTGTAAAACACATCCACAAACAACTCTGTTGGTAATATTCCTATAAATACAAATTAATTGCAAAAATACAGTATTTTTCAATTTCACTGAATTTTTTAAATTACATTTCGAAGCGTAATCAAAATAAAAGCTTATAATTACAGTCCAAATTAAATGCATAGAAATAAAATTATAATTTTTGAATTCATATATAATTTTGGGACTAATTTTATATGACTATCTCATTAATCTTAGACATTATAAATAGGATATGAATTATAATTACGACAAATTAAACGAAGGATATAATTATAGAATACTAACTTGACATTAATAGGTGCAAAGATAAATAAATTGCCAATAGAAAATATGACGTAATATATTTTGAATTTTAAAATAAATATATAAATGCCAGATAATACTTTAACATCTCAGATTTAAAAAAATAATGCTCATAATACACTTATGAAGTTACGCATGCGACGTATGAATGATGTTTCTTATAGTAAGGGCTCTGGTCGAGCACGAAACTAGTCGGGCGTCCTCGTAATCAAATGACTTGAATAAGTCGTATGAATATTACCAAATTGAATTGAAAATTGAAATAGTCCTACCGTCTGAGAAACACTTTCATAGTTTAAAGTACCTGGCATTTATATAGTCGTTTAAAATATTTATTTCATCATCAATTGAAAAATGCAACATTCTTTGTAGTGCTTTAACTTCATATTACTTTATCGTTATCGCTTAAAATTCAAATTATGAACTTTATTGTTACTGCACCATATAAGGTACATTAGTACTGCAGTACGAATGTCAATAGAGTGCAAAATGCAATGCATTTCAAAATAATAGTCGATGCGTAGAGGTAGGTTTTGGAAGACGATACATATATTATCTTATTCTATTGAGAAACGAATGTTCGATACTCGTATCTAGCTATCAATATAAGCTTAAACGTCTTTTACATAAAGTCGAATATAGGTTGTACATCGTAAATTACGATTAAAATTCACGCTAATTTAGACCTTAAAGCAACGTTCATAAGTCATAAGATAGGTTACTCTACCTCTGTTCATACCTGTTTAGGCGTTCGCTACAAAATAATTCAAATCCACCTTATGTCGAATTAGTGAGGTTTCTTGCGTTATCTCATTTCATAAGTACGTCGTCAAGTTATATTACTTAGCTACTAGGGGGGGTAAGCACAGTTGTGAGATCTTACAAATAGTACATTAACATTAAATCTTCCATTGGAAATTTAAAATAGGTAATTTTTGAGAGAAAGTCATCCAAAAATTACTAAGTAACCTCTTTGTGGAATGATAAAGGATTTTAAACATTATGATTGTATATTCATACAATTTAACTTAGTTTGTTAAAAGATTTCACAAATGTGCTTATCCCATTTCTAATTCTAGAGCGCATTAAAAATCTTGTCTGTCACTTCTACAAGCATTAAACGTCGACAGCATCGTTGCGCAAAGCATTGTATTGTTTGCGCAAAATGCGCTAAATACGTAACGCACAAGATTTTAAGCGCAAATACTGGTAATATTCACAGTTTTAACAATTCATTGAATTGTAGAAAAAACTACATAGGTATTTAGTCTTGATGATTTAGTTTTTGGGGCGAAGTCAATAGTAAGCAATTCATAAAGCCAAGAATACGCTAGGAGACAAACTTCTCGGCGACATGTCGATCGAAGCCGGCCGATGTCGCCTGACATATACGGTGACAACGCGCAACCCATGTCCACAGTAACGTTGACGTTGAGACGGCGTTCTGTGCTCTGATTGGTTGGTTCATTAGAGCCGGCCAATCACAGCGCCGAACGCGTACTCGTTACGATTACTTTAATCGAAAAAGAAACTCGTACTAAGGCCTCTGACATATTGACAAAAGTCCGGCAACGTTGCGCTACTTCACCTAACGTCCTTGGCGACACGTGGCGCAGGATACTTGTCCTCTAGTATATCCTTGGCTTAAAAGAACTGAAGTCCATATATCTTTGGCAATTCAAATAAAATATTTTCATTTTCACTGTAAATATTACCAGCCAATATAATATTTATAATTAATCGTCAAAGTTTAATGGTATATCAAAATTAAAGTCTTTTATAACAGTAATATCTAATTTATATATTTTTAATTTAAATACATTCGTTTTCAACTAGCGATAACTGAAGATACTGAAAGGCTGAAATGCTTAAGTTTTATGCTACTAAAGAGCTTAAGTCCAACGATTTGCTAGCGGATAATCGCTTCTATATCTACGACACTTAAGTTCGATTTTAGCGTAACGATTTTCGAGCATAAGTTTTTAAATAAAAATCCATTAAATTCAAAATAGACTCTGGTTTTTAAAGTAACCTTAAGAATATAGTTTTTTTGTGAATTTCAACGCACAACCTAACTGAAAATGTTATATTGTGACCAAGGTCTTGAGCTAGAAAATGCTGTCAAAATTCAAAATTTTGTAACAAAGTGTTACAACATTTTTTTACTCTAAAGGTGCTCCCACTCAGCAGATTTATAACGTTAGAGACTAAGTTAACATTTGTTTTTAAACAAATTACAGCAAATTTGTAATAGTATCTTGACATGTTGTAGAGTATGTTACAAAATGTTATCATGTTACATAACGTGATATAACATTATACAACTGCTGTGTGGGAGCACCTTAAATGATTGGATCGATTGTTTATAAGCTTCTATCTTTATAATTATTTGTCCGTTGAAAAAAGGCGGACACAATCTCTTGAAACAACGACTGAGGCACCTGGCTACTATACACTTACACGTAGAATACACACACATTGCCACGAAGGACATCTGTCGCGTGACTTGGCGCGTGATTACACTTCATACATTACGGTGTTGTAAGTACACGCACACATGAATACACCACTGACATTTTGGTGCTTCAATCATTTCGTAAGTGACAATACGACCGCCTTTTTTAAATTTTGCTGTAAATATCCAATTAACTATTAAAACATTCAAAATCTTTAGGTTGTAATCGATTTTTGACGTGAGTTCTATTGAATTTCTATGTAAAACCTAGATCGTTGCAGAGAATTTAAATTACGATCGACCGTAATATGTGAAACTGGAATACCATCGGCCTGGATTTTTGCATGAATCCTGAATTTCAGCAGCACATTTTTAACGAAGTGTTAAATAGTTATAACAGAGTGCCAAGCACGAATAATTATAACATTCGTAACGTATAGTATCGAGCACGTTCGCCGCTCTGATTGGTAGGTTCACTGGAGCCGGCCAATCAGAGCGCCGACCTTATTCGTGCTTATGGCGCTCTGGTCTATTTAAAGTACTTCAATAACGGCTAGTTAGTGTTAGTATGAAACTAAAGTATGTATCTACAGTTAGGTGGGAATGTCTCACTTGTCTTGCAGTTGCACGTAGTTGGCTGGGAACAGTCCGTACGCGCCCTTGCAGAGCCCTTGCCACCAGCCCTCGTCGATCTGGAGAGAAAGTACATGTGGTAAATCGTTTTCGTTTTTATTATAAGTTTCATTGATTTGGTGTTTGAACGTGAACTTTCATTTCGTGAAAATATATTTTTAAAAATTAACACATTAACCGCCACGTAGGTCACTGGTGACTTACGTTAGTGGAGGATTTGCCTTCAGTAGTTTTCTGTCGGCAGTCAAAGGCTTAATTGACTGAGTGATTGGTTCTCTCGTAACATCTCATAGGTATAATACCCTTATGGAAGAATTAATTTTCGCGATAGCAAAAGACAATCTTGAGATGCGGGAAGGTTTAAAATACCAAATGCCAACTTAGCAACCCTTTTGGCGTGAAGATGCTCAGGACAGTTCTTATTAACTTTCATAATACCTCCTTCCTCCTCCTCCTTCGTAACTCATTTTTAATATCTCTTCTATTATTATTATGCTGTATTCTTATAGGTGTATAAACTCACCATAACAATATTAGTAATAATATCATCGGGGTCGAAGGAGATCTCGTCAGGCGCGGCGGCCTGGTAGTCATAGAGAGCTCGTGCCGTGTACCCGTCCTCGTCCTCTGCCTCTAACTCTCCCTCTCCCGACATCTCACTCTCCCATCCTACTGGAGACACCACTATTGTTGGTTGACGACTCATCTGTGAAAGAAGAAATTTTAATGTAGTTACTGTGGCGACACATGTCACATGACAGTTCACGGACATATGCCGGAATACTGAAACGTTATTCAATTTTAAGTCGTGCTCAAATATCGTGCCATCTCTGTCATTTTACAAAGAATTTGTAGAGATAGAACTATAATTAAGCACGACTTAAAATTGAGTAGCGTTTCAGTATTCCGACAATAGACTATCAATGAAACAAATCAACGGATGACGTCATAAAATCCTACATCGCACATGTGAAGTTTACCTGCGAATTAACACGAATAGAAAATCCCAACGAACAACTGTTGGGCAGAAAGCCCGCCAGGCACGATCACCTCGCCTGGTCGGAGGATACTCCTTTCCCGATCTTAGGGAACTATAATCTCTGTTCCCTAAATTACACTTTTCTACTAATATTCCTACGAAAGTGTATCTACATACTGCCTCATTGGCCGAGTGGTCGCAAGTGCGCCTGCCCGGCAAGGGGTCTCGGGTTCGATTCCCGGGTCGGGCAAAGTATTATTGGGTTTTTCAAAAAAATCCCAGTAGTAGCACGGAGTCTGGAATTGTGCCCGGTATATGGCAATAGGCTCACCCCCTATTACATGGGACTCGTAACATAAATAGTGAAAAGTGGGTGTTACATTGTACAGTGGCATAATGTACACCTCTGCTTACCCCTTCGGGGATAAAAGGCGTGATGTTATGTATGTATCTACATATTTGTTCCTTTTTCACGAAAAAGCTACCGAATGGATTGAATCTTTTGGCACAGAAATAGATGATATTCTGAAGTTGCACATATTATGTGTGTGTGAATTTCATGACTTCTTGCCCCCCCCCCCCCGTCCTTGTCACAGCTAGTCACATTTGTGAGACCCCCTTCCCCTGTTCTGTGACGTCACATTGTGCAGAATTACGTACGTATAAAAATTATTGAATGAAAACAGCGGTTCCTAAATCAGTTTTATTTCTATTTAAATTACTTTAAAAAAATATCAATACTAAATTAAACAAAATAAAAATATTCGTGTTTTATAATAGTTTTTGAAATGTGACATCACAAAGTTTAGGATCCCTCCCTCCCCCTTGTCACACAATGTCACACTCCGTCGACCCTCCCTACCCATTAACGTGTGACGTAATTTATGGACTGGTCCTAAGCTAGTTTTATACGGCGTAGACCGCAGGCGACTACGGTGAGAGAAGCTAGTAATTTCATACGCGAAACGGGCAAACATAAAAATAATCGTACAAACTTATTGTAGTCAATAAAATAACTAAAACCGTAAGTGGGTACTTGCCAACTAGTCCAATTCAATACTTTTTTTCGAACTGTCAAAAACGACAGTTTTCTATGAATTTGGACGAGATTGTGTATTGTGATTGTGACGTCACGTTTTTTTAACGACAAACAGCATACGTTTCTTAAAATTTGCTGGAAAAATACTAAAATTAATTAAGTTGATAATAAAATCAATTAATTAAAGTGTGATTATTTTTTAATATTTTAATGCATTGAACAGTCGAACTCAAAAAACTCAAACTCAAAAGCATTTATTTCAATTAAACCATAATTTGGTACTTTTGAAACGTCAACAAATATGAAATATATATAATGATCTGTCAGTCTGTCCGTCAGTGAAGCTAGGCGCTCGTTCCAAAATGTCGAAATAAATTAGTTTTGATTAAGGCAATGGGCCTTGGGCCACGAATGGGCCGACTCGACCGGAGTGATACCACGGCCTCACAGAAAACCGACGTGAAGCAACGCTTGCGTTGTGTTTCGTCGTGTGAGTGAGGTTACCGGAGGCCCAATTACCCTCCCCTTCCCCAATCTCCCTAATCCCTGAATCCCCAACGATCCTCAAACTCCTAATCCCCAAAGAGCCGGTAACGCACTTGTAACGCCTCTGGTGTTTCAGGTGTCCATGGGCGACGCCGATTGCTTACCATCAGGTGATCCGTCTGCTCGTTTACCGGCTTATGCCATAAAAAAAGACAATCAAATATTCATTTAACAGTAACAAACTCCCTTCTTTGTTATCTAAACAATTAAGTTGAATTTTGAAAGGAAAAATAATCTAAATAATATTTATTATCTTACCTCTTCCTTGTTCTCTTTGGGTTCTCCTACAAGCGTCACGTCTGGCAAGTTAGGCTGTTTGTCTGTTGGTGTCGTCACTTCCGCCGACGTAGGCGCAGCTACACTAGTTGGGGCCTCTGGCGTTGCCTAGAAAAGGATTCTGTTACTAAAACTGAATAAATATTTTAACAAGATGACGTGTGAAAGAGACAGATAGATAGACATTGGGCACAGATTTTATTACAGACAGATAAAAGTACATGTAAAACTAAATAAGAGGTTGTTGAGAGTCAAAATACTATGTATGAATGCCTGTATGTGTATTGTGTTGTACTCGTGTGTAGGTATATATATTATAATTATGTTTATTTATGTTTATCTTTTTTTTTTTAATGGGACAAGCCCGCCACAACCTCCCAAAACCGCTGCAACTCCTGTAAGCCAGGATCTACAGTAGATACAACCATGAAAACACCGGAACACTGAAGTCCGGCGCGTCCCAGGGACATGAGTAACTGTCTTGGTTCCCGCAACGAAGTGAATCAGAAGATATTATAAGAGGAGAAGAAGAAA